TCCCCTCCTTCCCCTCCCCTCCCATATTTATCCTCTCCCCTCCCTCTCCTCCCCCTCTTCCCTCTCTTCCTTCTATTCACCTTCCTTCCCTCTCTCCCTCTTTCTCCAACATGTCTGGTGACCCAGGCTCACATCTGAGAAAGCCTAGAATGGAAAGTGTTTTCACACTGGCTGCTCTTAGAGAGGTCAGGCAGGTTCTGGGCTGGCTCAGGACCCAGACTCTAACTCCGGACCAGAAGGTCTCCCTGACTCTGGCCTGGCTCAGGCCTCCACGGCAGGGTTTGGCCCAAGGACTCATGCTCACAAGCAGAAGTAGGGTCTGTATTCCAGGACTGTTTTCCCTTCATGGGTCTCACAGGGAATGATAACTGGGTGAGAACAGGGTTCACATGGCCTGAACCCCTGTTCACATACCCTCACCCCCTTTTCAACAATAGAGATAACTCCCCAAGTATTTTCTAGAGAAGCCTTCGTGCCAAACAAGCTGGCTGCCAAATCTCCGTGAGTGTGAGGTTACCTGCTGCTCCCTTCTCATTACCCAGGACCTCTAGGTAGAAGCGGCAAGGAGGCCGGGGCATAGAGCCGGCCGGTCAGTATTGGGCAAGACTGTCGTGGGCAGGAAATTCCCTTCAGGGAACACCACTGGCTGAAGAGGCCCAGGGGAGCTGAGGGGGTGGACCCCTCAGACTCAGTGAGCCTGACCTGTTGGAGTTGACTTGCTTTGTCCTTGGAGGCTGGAGGCTCTGGTCAGCTGAGTCCTCCAGGCTCTCAGCTCAGGCCTCAGCCTGCTCCTGCACAAGTGTGGATGGACAGCATAGAAAGTAAAACGCGAAACTTGTCTGTAGGTGGAGAAGTGGGCACGTTCTCCAGAGGAAAACCACGGAGCCTGAACTTTCTTTCTGTAATGATGCTCCTTGGTTTTTCAAGGTGAAAAATGCTGAGAAAAAGTCTTTTATGTTTCCCCCTTAAAATTTGAATGTCCATTTAGTGAAGAACTTGGGCAGTGTCACTGACTCTGATGGATATTCCATTACCTCTCACCCCACTGGATCTCCTGCTGACTTGGCTGGTCTTTGCTGTGTGCAGACTTCTTTGTCACAGCAAGGACTCAGGCAAGCTAGAGTCTGGCCATAGGGGTTCTTTGCCATGCAGGCTCCCAGGTCACTGCAGCAAAAAGCGCAGAATGCGCGCCCACAGTCGTCAAGGTGTAGGGTGCACAAGGAGGTGTTCTCTCCAGCTGCAGTGCGCTTCAGCCTTCTGCATGCTCTGGAAGGAGAGGCTGAAAACCTGCTGCTGCTTCAGGCCAAGCTCAGAAACATCTCAGGAGACTTAGGAAGAACTTGAGAACACTGGTCACTTGTGCTTTCTGTTTCCTCAGAGTCACAAATAGGGACACAAACCAATGTGCTATCACCCAGGAGGCTTTGGGGCCAAAGTTGCTGCTAAGATAACTACATAAGAAGTTAATTATGCTGGAGTAGAACTGCGCTGTTCTTCAGTCACTTACACCAGGATTTTGTGTCCTGTCTCCCCATAAACTGTGTCACAGACAGCTTGACCAGGTCACCAAGAGCTGGTCCATTTAGCAGTTCAATAAAGCCCAACCCCAGTCCTTATGTTAAGAGGTGTCTGCTGACTGACAGCTGATAACCAGATCGTCCCAGCATCTGTTCCACTTATTCTGTAGTGAGGAAGCCTGTTAACACCCTCCTGTGAGCTCAGACCACCTTCAGCCTGTTCCAGATGTGTGCTCTCAGGGGGTCATCCTAGGGCTCCACTGTGGTTAGGAGGGTGTTTCAGTCATGAAAGGGTCATTGCCTAAAAGGACCTAGCAGTTCTGGTTCAGCTCACAGTGTATGATTCTTTGCTTTTCTTTTACATTTCTACCATTAGCCTGCTCTTCTCACTCAGCCCTTAATAACGTATTTGCTGTTTACTCTTTAATGAAGGGGCATTCATTTCTCAACAGGAGTTTCCAGGTTTGGACAAGCTAAGTCCTGCATGTTCAGGCACCAGCACCCCCCGGGGCAATGTCCTAGCATCTCATAGCCCCATGAGCCCCGAGAGCATCAAGATGACCCACCGGCACAGGTATGGCCTTCGGGCTGGGGAGTGTCCCCTCCACAGAGTTAAGTCTGAATATCAAAGGTCAGAGCCAAGGAAGTCCGAAATAGTACCTGTGTACTCACTCACATGCCCTCTTACCAGTGTACACAAGGACCACGCTATGCACCCAGCCATCCTGACTGACAGAGGGGTATACTTGGTACTGTGGGAACCTGGAAGAGGGTGAGTCTTGAAGGATAAGTAGAAGTTTGAAGGCAGGAAAGAGTTTGGGTTAGGAGGTGATGGAGCAAGAGCCAAGCAAAGTGACCGACAGGATGAACATTCACCTCGGTGGGAACGAGCTGGCCAGGTCGTCACTGCAGGTCAAACCACGTGACTGCAGCACACGGTCCCAGGGCATGGAGTGGGCAGGACCAGATCCTAATGGGCCTTGTTCAGTCAAGCCCTTGGACTTGATCCCCAGGGGAATGAGGATCACCAGTTGGTTTTTAGGAAGAGAACAGCATGGTGATGGAGACATTGAGGTGAGGCTGCTCTGAGCTTAGGAGCCGTGGTCTGCCTGGGCTCAACTGAGGATACTAAAAGCCTCCAGGGCAGGAAGGCCAGGCTGGGGAGGAGCCCTGCACTTAGGTTTGTTTTCCAGTGTGAGCAGCAAGTCAGCACAGAGTGGGTGCTCAGCCAGTAAGGAGGAGTAAATGAACGAGGGGCTGCCTCATATAGGTAGAGGACAGCTGTTGGCAAGCCTTTGACCACAGCTATGAAAGGAAGCCCAGAAATGGTTCGCAGACAATTGTTTTGGTAACTTCTCCATACCAGGGAGACACCCTGACCAAGGAGCAGACCCCAGCAGAGGATGGTTACTGGCTCAGATTAACATTCAGAGCAAGAGGGACCTCAGGCCTGTTACCTGATTGAGTGGATGTCTCTCATTCCTCCTGAGAGCCTGCTGCTGTCATCAGACTGAGTGGCCATGAACCATTCAACTCTAGGTAGACACTATGGCAGGCTACCATTAGTCCTGAGCGGGGCCCCTGAGCAGCAGGTGGGGTTCAGGACTGCTCCAGGCCTCAGATGGATATGAGCATTAGCTATGGAACCCTCCAAACCAGTGGTGCCTGAGGCTGGGGGTGACTTTGCGCACCCTTATCTACTGTTCCCCCACCACCTAGCAAGGTTTCTAGGCTCCAGGTCTGACTTCCTCCTGTTTCCTATTCTTGTTCACAGCCCCATGAACTTGATGGGCACAGGTCGCCATTCATCATCCTCTCTCTCCTCACATGCGTCTAGTGAAGCGGGAAACATGGTGATGCTGGGTGAAGGCTCCATGGGCGAGGCTCCTGAGGACCTGTACCACCACATGCAGGTACCAGAGCTGTTCACAGAGAATGGGCCAAAGCGCCATGCCTGGAGGACTCGCCTCTCTGCTGGCCGGGCTGGTCCGAGGGCTGACATCCCTACCTAGTTCTGCAGTTACTGAAACCGGAACCCCCAGAGCCAGCAAAAGTGCCTTGCCACCACACCATCCATGCTGCAGCTCCCAGGCCTTATTTCCTAAGAAGGAAATCCAGCTTCAGTCCTGGCTGCTCTCACAGGCCCCATGGGAAGGAGCCTCTGCCAGACTCCTCCTGCTTGGCATTCCTGCTGGCTGAGTCCTGCTTCCTCCATGGGCACCATCACTAGAGCTGACCCAGCAGCCCTGCTCCATGGGCAGTGTGGGTGACCCTCAGTGCCAGCCATCAACCTGGCCTCCACCAAGGCCCAGGGTGCAGCATCAGGCTGCACCTCAGCATGAAGAAGCTGAGTGCAGGCCAGCCCGACGGTTCTGGCCGTTCAATGGTCCTGGCCGTTCAGACCTGTCCTGGTTTTCCCCCTTTGCAGCTCGCGTACGCCCACCCCAGGTCCCAGGGCTCGGTCACCAACGTCTCTGCCCTGTCCTCGTCCCAGGCGAGCCCGTCCTCCTCCAGCCTGAGTTCCACCCACTCAGCACCGTCCCAGATGACTGCCTCCGCCCCTTCCAGTGCCCGAGGTAAGGACGGCAGGGTGCTGCTCGCCCAAGGGAGAGGAGAGGGCCTCCTGAGCCCCACTCGTCCTCTCACCTGTGGCTGCCTCTGAGAGCATGCTTACTGTGCTCTCGGCACTGGGACTCGGGGCATCTAGCCCCAGATCACTCTCAGCCAGTGTCAGTCCCCGCTCTGAGCAGCATCTGCAGCTGAGCTGCACCGAGGGAGCCAGCCATTGCCTCCCAACCTCAGTAAGGATGCAGCCTAGGAGAGGCTCAGTTCTTTTCCATTGAAATGTTTGCAAGAGTAAGAGTCACAGTTAAGGCAAAAGTGAGTCTTGAGAAAGCAAGCATCATGACAAAGTATGAAAATTGAATTTGAACCCTAAAATTAACCCTGGAAAATGTTATTCTAAACAGTAACAACAACCCAAAAACCTTTGGTCAGTTGGGAAAGGCTCACCCATGAGGGGCAACTCTGTAACAGCTCCTTGCTTTGCCAGGTTGTGCTTGACCCCTGTTCAGAAAGAGAGATGCTGTTCTCGGAGAGCCAGTGTCTGTTCACATTCTGATCATAGCTCCCACACTGAAATCTAGTTCCCTGTCCTGTTCGATAGAAACGTTTGCAGCGGAATGGAAATTAGCCATGGCAGCTAAGCTCTAGGGTGTCCCAGGATTGGGTATGTAGGATTGTAACACTAGTATGCTCGGAGCTTGCCAGCTAGTCCCTGGCTGTTGCTTCCAGGCTTATGAGGAATGGAGTCTCTTTGTTCTTCTCATTATTATGAAGACAGAGAAACAGCACCAGTTTGTGTCATGGAGGGTCATTAAGGAAAACTGTTTAAAGCACACCAACCTCTCATGCCCACAGTAAGAGTGATGGAGACAACAGGGCAGAGTGATGGAGAGATGCAGGAGCCCACCAGGAAAGCCTCAGCCGATGGGGACAAGGTTTCAATAGGCGCAGTCACAGACTCACCTGAAGCACCTGCTTAGGAACCAGCCCCTTGTTCCTGTGGGAGAAATAGGGCCAGTGAGGCGGCCTTTAGGCCATCCAACCGGTTTGTGGCCAAACTTAATTTGGAGTACAAGTCCTCACACTCACCTGCTCTCAGTCTGATGCCCGGTCCATTCCCATGGCCACCCTCCTAACTTGGACTGGCACTCAGAAAGGGGAGCAATCTTCAGAAGCAGGCATTGCTAGCATTAGAGAAGCCAGATGAATCATCAGTTGGGTGCATGTTGAAGCTTTGTTGATGTGTGAAGGCTGCAAACATGAGGGAACAGTGGTTTGTGTTGTAAAGATTTGTGTTACAAAAGGTGGCTTTAGGAACAAAAAGGAAGGAACCCTTCACAACTTAGCCATGATTGCTGCCGGGAGGTCAGCATTTGCAGTGTCTTAAGGTAAATGCTCCTTTATAGAGCTAGGGGAACAGATTCTGTTACATGATCTGTTGTGTGGCTTTTGTCCTAACCTGAACATGATGTCTAAGTTCGGGTATTCTTGCTAAAGAAATATCTCTGAACCATGCTTACTGATGAAAACAGGACACAGAGAATAGACATTTTAGCTCAGTTCCACTCTGACATTGCTCAGACACTTCCTCTAGGCTGTGCCTGGTACTCAGCACCCTGGTGAGAACAGAGGCACCAGCAGGGACCGCACAGGCAGGCTGCTACCACCTCTGTCCTTCCAGCTAACCACTTATGATCAACTCACCCATCAAGCTTTCTCGAATGAGTGCCTGGTGAGGATCTGCATGTCTCTTGCAGCATCAGAGTTGAATAGAGAAATTCTTTTCTCCCTGTTTGGAAGTAATCCCTCTATTTCAGTTGGCTTGGTTATCTATTGCTGTATAATAAAAAAAAACAAAAAACACAAAACTTAGTAGCTTAAAACAACCATTTATTATCATTACAGTTCTGTGGGTTGACAGGGTTCATTGATCAATTCTCACTGCAGTCTCATGAGCTTGCGGTCAGATGTCACCTGGGGCTGAAATCACCTACAGGCTCAGCTAGACTGGACATCCACGCTGGCAGTTAGTGGATGTGGGCCAGGAGCTCAGCTGGGGCTGTCAACCTGAGTCCCTGCATATGGCCCGTCTGTGTGTCTTGGGCTGCCCACAGCATGCAGCTGATTTTCCCCAGGGCAAGCATTCCAAGAGACCAAGCAGAAGGCTTCTAATTACTCAGCCTTGGAAATCCCAGCGTCCCTTTTACCACATTCTGTCTGCTAGTCAAGTCACTAAGGTATGTCAACCTGGATACCAGGGTGAAGAATGAGTCTCCACCTCATGTGAGAAGGGGCATGTGTATGCTTTGGGAGGTGTTGATGGTCCCCATCTCTGGAGACAAGCTCTCATAATGGCCAAATTCCAGAATATCATATAGAGAAAGGCTGATAAAAGCCCCTCCCATTTCTGTTATTAGATATTAAGTACAAAAGTAAAAACAGTGGTTAAATATTAAGTACAAAAGTAAAAACAGTGGGCCCACGGCAGGGAATGGTGATAAGAAAAAGCAAGGAGTTTATACTTCTTGGCTACAACAACCATGTGCCGACCCATCTGGAGAAAACCGTGGCCCACCATGTACCCAGCGCAGTGTCAGGCCCTGAGAGGGCCGGCCCCGTCACGGGGAAGACTACGGTGAATACAGTAGTAGACGCTCTGGGGACGCAGGAGGAAGGGTCACTGTGGTTATGTCTGGTATTAGGGTGAGGAGAAGGCTTTTGAGAAAGTACTCTGGAGAATCCTGCACATCGGAGTCACTTCCCCCACTCCTGGGAGTAGTCATGACACCAGTGGCCTTCCTCACCAGGCCCATTGACACTCTCTGTGGTCCCTGTGGCTTTTAAAACCTTCCAGCTCAATGGCTTGCAAGGCACAGTCTACACTCTTGTAAGTGGGCAGCTCCCCCTGGTGGTGACAGATTGATAGAGACTAGGAAGCATGGGGGTTGTGACTGATCCTCCTTGAATGACTGTCGTGCTTAGCCCCCCTGTGGCCCACCAGACTGCAGCTCAGTACTTCTGAAGTCCTGTGACACAAATACCTTTGTGTCAGTTTAAAGACAGTTTAAATGTTTTCATGAAAAGCAGCCTTCACTCTCTCCTATCATGGGATTGACTTCCCAGAGCAAGGGCAGTGGGAGAAAAGCGAGATGCAGAGTTGGGAAATTTAGTGGTAGCACAGAGCACCCCTTTGTTACAGCACCAGCGGGGCCTCCAGGACGTGGACACAGATCTTCAGCAGTGCCCCTGGGCCTGTCAGCTGCTGTCCCTCCATCCTAGCCCCCTAACATGTCACAGGATATCGAGGGCTCAGGTGTAGTGCTGGCCTGGTGAGCCAGGCTGTGAGCTCTGTGAGGCGGTGCACCATGTTGCAGCTGTGTGTCTGGCGTGCAGGGGTAGTAGGTGTGGGTTTGATGTAACTAAGCTGGTGTAAAGGGCTGTGTCTGTTCCGTGCATGCTACATGGAGGGAGCCGTTCAGAGCTGTGGCTGGCAGGGCATGGGAAGCTTCTTGCTGGGAAGGCAGTACAGAGGTCAGCGGGATTAGGAGCGTTTCTCCTGTTTTCTCTAACAGCCATCTTCTTGAGGTTGCTTCAGAGCTCTAGAACAAAACTCTAAAACAAAACATTGAAATCCGTTACAAAAAAAAAAAGGTCACCAAATGGTAGCAAGTCAGGCCTAGTTTTTCAAGAAAGTACTTTACTCGTTCCCCTGCCAGTGATGGATATTTTTAAGACTAGGTCTTAAAGCCAGCCCTGAGGTTCTGCAAACAGTATTGCTCAGACCTTTTGTGGAAGAAGTTTACATAGTAATAATTAGATTGCTGGTTGTATCATACCGGCTTCTTCAAGGTATTCAGGCCTCATCTGCTTGGACTACAGCGAGTGCAACAGGAATTTCTCAAGGGCTGCTGGGGCACGCTGGCTGCAGAAGACCTTTCTGGCTGTGCCTTAAGAGCGCCTGCACTTCACACTCAGGCTCTAGAGACTCTGGGTTCAGGGACACAGAGCCTCCAGGTTCCTCTCAGACAGAGCCCATGGGCTGCGCTCAGCTCTCCAGTACCACAGAGAGGGGTTTCAACCACTGGGGCCAGCCAGAGGCTTCCAGTGGACAAGAAGGGGGCACTGGGGTCTAGGTGACCCTCCTATGAGGGGCCAGTGACTCCTAGTTTCTTGTGGACATGCTGCATCTGGCACAATGAGTAGTGCACATTTGGAGGAACTTCCAAGTCATCTATTCCCAAGGGAAGCTAGCAGGTTATTCTCACTGCTTCTGTGGAGGGTCCCCTCGAGGACCATGGCTTGACAGGCTCCTGGGCCTATAGCTGTGGCATGCATCGATGGGGACTGGGCCATACCATATCTGGCAGGATCTGGCCTCCATAACAGCCCCTCAAGCCAGAGGAGGTTTCACAGAGGCCTCACAAGAAAGGAGCATGAGCCAAATTAACTCAAGAGCTTAGGTTAAAGCCCCACAACTTGCAGACTAACCCCATGGCCCCGTGTTCACTGAAAGGCAGATCTCAGAGTAAGAAACCCTGGAGAGCTGCATGGGTGCAGGCCCTGGGTCTTCAGCCAGTCTGGCTCTAGGGCTGCAGTAGAATGACCAGCAAGGCAGAAGGCAGGAGCTGGGGGCCTGGAAACTGGGAGGAAAGGACCTCTGGGAAAAGGTAGGAGGAGGCTAGCTGAGAACAGGGCCATGGTGTCTGGAGAAGGTAAGTGTGTGGAGATGCAGTGTGTTCAGTAAGAACTATGCCATGTTATCTGAGTGTCTCTGTCTCTGTGTGATGGCTCCATTACAAGCTGGCCTGTGCCATGTCTGGGCCCCTGAGAGGGCCCAGCATCCAGGTCACACTCATCTTCCAAGAGCGCCGGGTGCAGGAGCCCCTGGGGCCCCAGCTCCAGTCTTCACCCCTCCTCACAATCTGCCTCTGGGCACAGTGAGGGGAGCCTGCCAGTGGGTCTGCATCGCCCAGTAGATCTCCCTCCGCTGGGATGCGAGGTGCAGCCCCACCACCATCTAACCACCAGACTGCTTTGTTCCTCTTGTGCTTGCTCAGCTCATCCTCACCCCAACTGCAAGCGGATACCTGCCCTGGTTCCCTGGCCCCAAGAATGCTTGCCCACTGGACGCTCCATCTGTGGCTTGTCATCTGTGCGTGATTGTTCTCACTTGGTTACAGGCTCTCCCTCTCTGCCAGATAAGTACCGCCATGCCCGGGAAACGATGCTGCTGCTGCCTGCGCACCGGGACCGGCCGAGCAGCGCCATGTATCCAGCAGCCATCCTGGAGAATGGACAGGTAGCAGCCCCTGCCTGCCGACCGCCCTCTGCCCCCTTGTGTGGCCTGGATTTCGCTCAACCAACTTGCTAGCTTTCCGCATTGCCCGCGATGCCCCTTCTGCCGTAAGACCCTCGGGAGGCTGCCGGGCTCCTGGATGGGGGCTTCAGTGAACCTGAGGACCAGCCATCCAGACACAGTGCACTGTGGGTAGAATGGTGGCAGGGTTGGAGTTGCCATTACTTGTGTGGCCGTCTGTCTTTTTTTTTTTTAATATATCTTTATTGATTTCAGAGAGAGGAAGGGAGAGGGAGAAAGATAGAAACATCCATGATGAGAGAGTCATTGATTGGTTGCCTCCTACAGGCCCCCGACTGGGGATCGAGCCCGCAACCCGGGCATGTGCCCTGACCGGGAATTGAACCCTGATCGCCTGGATCCTAGGTCAAAGCTCAACCACTGAGCCACGCCCGGCCGGGCCTATCTGTCCTTCTGGCCAGTCTCCTGAACTCCTCATCCCTGAACAGTCCAGCAAAGGAAACTGGTTCTTTCCTGTTTCAAGAAGACAGTGGTAGACAGGTCTGGAGGATGCCTTCGTCCCTGTGTGTGAAAAGCATCTTTATTAGGGCAGACTCGGCCTCTTTCATCCATCCATTCACCTGAAGCCCCTCACTACCTGCTGGAAAACTCTCCACACCATTTGTGCAGCTTTCCAAATACTATACCTGGAAGCCTTGAACAGATGCTGCAGGGATTAACCACTTCCCTATCCAGTCTGCCCTGTTTCTCTCAAGAGTCCATGAAGGTCACCTCCAAACAAGTGTTCCCTAATTCCAGAGTGCCGGGAGTTTCTCAGTGGTACCTCCCTGTGTCTGATCAGCCCTGCCAGGTGGAGGGAGCATGTCTGCTCAGCAGCTGCCCATCAGAACACTGGGTCCCGTCTATGACTCTTGGCTTGAGTGCTGCATTTTCCCCACCCTCAGTGCTAACGTAGGCCTGTGGGAGGATCTCCAGGAGGTCAAACTTGTCAGCACTCTGGGTGAAAGGGGCCCTTAAGTTCTTTCTGCCAGTGTGTCTCCCTGGCAGGACAGACTGATACAGTTAGATACCTCCGGTGCCGTGTCCTTTTTCTCAGCCGTGCACAAGACAGCCTGGAGCCCAGCCAGACACCCGAGGCTGGTGCCTCAGTGTTGCACATGGCAGCACTCAGCCAGGCAGCACTGGACGGCCTTCCCTGGCTGCCTGTGTTCTCCACACACCTCAAGCATGAGCCATACCACTACTTTGACTTCCCCCATCTGATTTTGGAATGTTCTGGCTCCTGTGGCCCACAGCACTGCCCCCCAAGATATAACTGGTGGTTTTCACCCTTTCTGATGTTTTTTTCCTTCCCTCAGCTGCCAAATTTCCAGCCAGCCCTGTTCCAGCAAGTGGTCGGAGCCTGCAAACCCTGCAGTGACCCCAATCTGTCTGTGGCTGAAAAAGGTATTGTTCCTCATCTCAGGTAGCCTCCCACCATGTGTGTCTCCATCCTGAGCCTCTGAATCTTGTCCCTGAGCACCAGCTGGCCAAGGCTGAGCCACACTCCCAATATCCAGACCTGTCTGTCTAGAATCCTAACCAAGTCCTGTGCTCACTGTGCGACCCAAGTCTGCTTGATGCTAAAATTTGGTTTCTATTAGTTTGTATCTCTCCCTCCACAGTGCCCAGCTCAGATAGGCCCCAGCTACCACCTGCCCTGAGCCTACCTTTGTGGAAACTCAGGCTGCCATGTGCAAACAGGGCAACCACTCCCCTGGGTGCCTCCAAACCAGCCCCAGAATTCAGCAGGCCCTGTAGCGCCTTTCATCCCTCTCAACTTGGGCCCTCAGGGACCTGTCCTTGTTGCTCACAACAGACCTGCTGCCGAGCAAGCCCAAGAAGAATGGAAGGACAGGCCAAAGCAGAGTGAATTTCCCAGAGACAGTCCTGCCCAAGGGAGTCCTGGGGTACCAGAAGGGAGTCCCGTCCTCCTGCAGCCACTCTAGCCAGCAACTATGGAGTCCGTCTTACACATAGCCAACCCATGAGACTGGGGAGTACCTAGCACAGAGGCTGCTTAGAGAGAGGATTTCTGTCCTGTGTTCTGCCCCAGCAAGCTGATGGAAGAACCAGGCTTGGACGCCCATGACCCCGGCCCAAAGCCCCAGACATGGAGACCTGAGTTTAGTGCTAATGGAGGGGACTCTGCTGAGCCTGCCTAGACTATCTGGGGACTCTGCTAAGCCTGCCTGCTACACAGAATCCAGGCCCCTACCAGCCCATCTCCCTGTAGGTTCCCCTCCCCTCCTCACCAAGTGACATCTGCTGTGTGTACTATCATTGTTGCTCCCTTGCTTATTACAGGGGACATACCTGTGTCCTCGAGGTACAACAAATACTGGTCCATGACCTTGGTGCCCAGTAGAGCATCAGCACTGGTTTCTCAACCACAAAGGCATAAAAATTGTGGCTGAATTTGCCTTCCTAGCCTCAAGGATACACATTCCCAAAACATGCGGTTTCCCTGGACCCCTGCACCTATGCCTCAAATCTGAGTGCCTTTTTGGCCTTGACTAGACTCTACAGTGGCTTTTCTTCATTTGAGATGTGAAGCAATCTCAGAACTAGCCAAGAGCACGGAAGGGCTCAGAGATCAAATGGGTGCTGCCGTCCAGACCAGGACCCTACGCCAACTGGATACAGAAGAGCTTCAGGCTGCAGCAAGAAGCTGGACATACCATCCCAGGTGTGGGAAGGAAAGCTGGTTGTCTCAGAAAAGAGGCTGAGCCCAGAGCAAGCATGTCCACGCCACAAGGCCAGCACTTGCCTAGAGGGAACACATAGGCCAAAGTAACAACTTCCTAAGTCTCTACCTGGATCCCCAAGGGCAGGAACTGCACAAACTTGTCACCATTCTCATCACCAGGATCTTGAATCCCATGAGGACTCCACTTCTCACTTGCAGATATCTTTCTTTGCCAGGCAGTGACTCCCAGACCAGGCAAGCCTGCCCTCAGAGCTATGGGCTGTACACTGGGGACCTCAGGCCAGTGCTGGACCACTGTTACACAGAGAAAGATGCGGCCAGCATACAGGGGGATTGCCCCTCTTCTTCTAGAAGGCACTCCATCTTAGATGCTCCACTAGCTCCAGTGCACGCGTGCTGGATGGCAAAGGTCACTGGCCTCGCTGCTAACTAACATCAGGCTGCAGGGCAAGCTTGATGGTCTCTGGCTCACGTGGAGTGGCTCAGAGGCCCCCTCTGTAAGCCACTGCAGCCTTGCTGCTTTCTTCCCCCATAGCCTTCCTGACTGCAAGTGGGCCCTTGTGGGTGAACTTCTGCAACCCCACAGTTCTTCCAGGACCTAGATGCACATGTGAGATCTTGGGCTTTCAGAACCCCTTTGGGGAAGTTGCCCAGACCTGCCTCTAAGCTTCTTATTCCCTGAGATTCAGTGGCTTTTCATAGAGACAGAACTTTTCTTTGTGGGGGGAGAGCGCTTCAGTGCTGAGGGCCAGGAAGTTGGTGCTGCGTCATGGGGAGAACCTGCACGAGGATGGGCCTGTCCATTCTGGGGACAGCTCAGGCATTCTGAGGTGGCCTGCTGTTGAAATCTACCTGATGCTCATAAGATTCAGAATTCTTTCCTCCCCTTGGGCCACAGCTGAGTACCTGCCCACCTGGTCACTGCCACGCCCTCCCTCTGGCCACCAGCCATCAAGCATCCTGTGAGATTGAGCCATCCTCCTTAGAACTGAGGCTGTGTAGATAGTGGAGTTCTACCCCGTGTTTTGCTGCAAGCCCACGCCAGGTCCTGACCAATGAGGAGACGAGGGCAGACACCACCACTTATCCCTGGGCCACATGGGGCCCAGCCCCTGCTGGCCACTTCCTCCTTAAAGTCGACTCCAGCTCCTTCCCTTCCGGAGCCTCTGGGCATTCCCCACTCAGTGCCTGGAGCAGGAAGAACCCAACCCTGGCCGTCTCAGGCTCCCTTTCACTACCACCACTTCAGAGCAAAGCCAGTGAGGAGGCCCCTGGATTGAGAGCTTCTGCCCTGCTGCTGACAGCCCAGCAGGGAGAGTGCTTGCCTGGCTCCGTCAGAGAAAGGGCATCTTTCTTCCCGGCAGTACTTGTTGTCAGGAAGAGTTGGCTGACAGGATTCACGTGTCTCCTGCTGCTCCTGTAGGGTAGCCCCCTCACACCCCAAGGTCCAACCATTCCTCCTCTCCCCTCCCCTCCGGCCAAGTCACCCCAGCTGTCGCCAGCATTCTGGCACTGGACTTCTTTCTTAGCATAGGTGGACACTTGGTGTTCCCCTCTGTCCAGGGCCCACTCCACTCTGCATCCACAGCATGTGGGTGCCAGGAACTGGGCTTCTCTACGTGTCCCAAAGCACCCATGGGCATGACTGGGCCATGACTCTTGGACTTTATACTTTTCTTTCCTGTGAGGACAGTGAATACCAGTTCTTGCCTACAAAACGCCCTGTGTATCCCAGATCCCGCCAGTGGGCACAGGAGCAACAAGAATGGGCAAGGCTTGTACGTTACCACAGGCCTTTTGTGAGGCTAATTTGAGGGGCAGCTCCTGCCCACTCACTGGCCATGCACCAGATCTAGAGGAGCAGTCTCTCCCTCCTGCCCATCCTGCTCCCTGCTTTCCCTTTTGGCCGAGGCAGGAGGAGAGCCCTGACTCGACTTTGTGAGAAGCTCTGTGGCCCACGCTTTCTGTATTCTCTTATTGTCGTTAGCCTGTTCCACACTCCTCTTCTCACCTCTTCTGTTCTCTCTTCTCCTCCTGGCAAGTCATGGAGGCTGTAGGGGCTCACTGCTTGCTGCACTGGCTCTCAGCTTGCTTCATCCTGAGTGCTCCTCAGACATCAGTTCACTGTTGCCATCTTAAGCAGCTTCTATCCCTGGCCACTCCCTCCCAAAGGCCACAGTGTCTTGCTTGGCCAGTGTTTTCTGCCCCAGGGGCTGGCATGCCCTTCCCACCTGTGCTGGGTACATAATGCACACCTGGAGAAGCCACACACTAGGATGGGCTTCTCCTACAGGGTGGCTCCAGAAGTAACTTCCCTTCATGCCATTTGTTTCCACCCTTCAGCGGTGCCAGCAGCCCCCAGCAGCTGGAGCCTGGATAGCGGAGCCCGAGAGGCCCAGCCCTTCCTGTCTGCCCACATGGGGCGCATCCTGGCCCCCCCAGTGCCTCCCCGAAGCCTGCTGCATGGTAAGAAGACCTCCAGCGGGTCCCCAGATAGTCGTTGGTCTCCAGCTCTGCTCAGAGGCAAGGGCAGCAGCCTTCCAGGCTGAGAAGACAGGCCATTCTCTGGGCTGACTCAGCCAAGGAGTAACCATCCCTGCCACAGGAAGGAACCAGCTGGGCTTCAGGGTCGGTGAGGTTTCCAAGTGCAGCAGGTGAGCTCAGTGAGGCCCTCCCAACCAGGGTGGCCGAAGACAACAGAACTGTCATCACCCAGCCATGGGCCGGAGACCTGCCACTGCCTACAGCCTGTTGTTCCCCGGGCTCTGACACACTTAACCGTCTTGACCTCCTGTGTAGCATGAGTGTCTTTTACTCCAGCAGCCTATGTTTTGGAGAACTTCATGAAAGAGATTTTCCTGTGGCCTTCAGTGCTAAGGGGTTCCCAGGATACTATTCCCACATCTGCCCAGTTGGCCCAGTGAGATGTGCTGGTGTGCAGCCCAAGAGGGGTCCCAGCTGAGGCTGTGGTTCTGTTCCCTTTGCAGGTCATTACTCCCTACACTTTGACACCTTCCACCACCCACTGGGTGACACCCCCCCGGCCCTCCCTGCCCGGACCCTGCGCAAGGTAATGTACTGAAGCAACAACCCCACCAGGCTATAAGATGAGTCAGTTCATCTGCTCTACAGCCCCTGGGGTCCATAAAACGAACCCGAGCCCTCTCCTACCCCTCTGTCCTGGTGAGCCTAGCCCGGCAGGGGCTGAGGGTGACCAGAGCCACACACTCGGGATGCAGATGACCATTGTATCCTGCAGCCACTATGATGGGGATAGGAAGTTAGAGAGCCCTGGATACAGCAACACCAGTACTCAGAGCATGTGGGCAACTCTGCTAACACCATGAGGTGTCAGCAAACCACAGTTCAAGAGGTAAAGAAACAGTCTTGTGATGGATTGCAGAGCATTTTAAACTAGAGTCTATCAAAGCAAGAAGCATCAGGCACCAAAGCTTTATAAAAAAAGAAAAAAACGTGTTAATTTTTCTGCAAATTAGAAAAGACTATCACATTTTAGCAGCAGAATGCACTCATCTGGCCCATAGCCAACTAAGGTTCTTTCTGCCTCCCCACTGGCCTGACAACCCAGCCCTTCTGTCAGTACCCCAGAGCCACAGCCAGCAACTCAGCACTTGGCTTCAGGGGGCACAAACGCCCAGCAGCCAGGGCATAGCCATGTTTAGCCCATAGAAATGCAGGTGGTTCTGTTGTTCCCTAGGCCTGCTGGGGCTGGAGGGAGCAGTGGGGCTGCTGCTGAGGGCTCTGTTGAAGCTTATTAATAAGCAGACTTGGTATTCTCTTCACACCATGGCCACCAGCCAGTCTGGAGAGAGAGATTCTAATATGCCCATCCTTTCTTTTGCAGTCTCCTCTCCACCCTATCCCAGCCTCCCCCACCAGCCCCCAGTCGGGCCTGGATGGCAGCAACTCTACACTGTCCGGCAGCGCCAGCAGTGGTGTGTCCTCCTTGAGCGAGAGTAACTTTGGGCACTCCTCAGAGGCCCCGCCTCGAAATGACACCATGGACTCCATGCCTGGCCAGGCCTGGCATGCTGATGAAGACCTTGAGCCGCCCTACCTCCCTGTTCACTACAGCCTCTCCGAGTCTGCTGTCCTGGATTCCATCAAGTCCCAGCCATGCCGAAGCCACTCAGCCCCGGGATGTGTCATCCCTCAGGACCCCATGGACCCGCCTGCGCTGCCACCCAAACCCTACCACCCCCGCCTGCCGGCCCTGGAGCATGATGAGGGTGTACTGCTGCGTGAAGAGGCCGATAGGCCTCGGGGCCTGCACCGCAAGGCCTCACTGCCTCCTGGGAGCACCAAGGAAGAGCAGGCCCGCATGGCCTGGGAGCATGGCCGAGGAGAACAGTGAGGGGCAGGGAGGCGGCTGGGATGTCGCCCTCAGAGCAGCTGGCCCAACCATTCCAGGTCTGAAAAGCAAGTCCCCCCAGGGAGCCAGAGAGGCCTGGCACTCAGGAGAGAAGCACCCGAGTCTACGTTCTGCCGCTGTGAACTTGTGTGTTGCCATGTACAGAGGCCGCAGCAGCATGAGGGTTGTGGCTTCTCTTTTTATTTGATTTCTACGTTTCCATTTCTATAGGTTTTCCTTTCATTTTTTGTGCAGTAGATGCTTTCTTCCTCCTGTAGTTCCAGACCACGTGGAGCTCTATGGAGATATTGCACAGATGGAATCGTTTTGCAGCTTTGCAGGGCCTGGGGTAGGAGCCCAGGCCCTCCCTCCAGGGTAGAGATGCACAGAAAAATGGAAATTGCACTAGGGACCTCTTCTTTTGCTGTGTGGACAGAAGAGCTCATGGTTGTATTCAGGGATTGCGTGGACCACGTGGACTACATGCACAGGTGGTGGACAAGGGGCTACAAGTCATTTTGCACAAATGCCTGCCCACCTGCCTACTCTTTCATCCAGGAATATGCAACTGAGGGGTTGGCTGGGCCAACCTGCCAGCTCAGGCATGTGACCTGGCCTAACTGCATGCCCAGGGCACACTGCCAGGCTTTCACCAGCCAGTCCTGCCTCCAGCTGTCTTGGATTTTCTCCTCCATCTCTTTTATTTCTGATCATTTGCTCCCTTCCACTCTCAATACACCTCATGCCCTGCAGGAGCCCCCTTGGCAAGTAGATCTGCAAAGGTCTCCCACCCTCTAGGTCTTGAGTAGGGGTGTGGAACCAAAGGGACTAGCCACCTTCCTCCCCAAGGGCCAGGAGGCCCTGTGTTGAGAGATGAGCTGGTATGCTGAGGTGTGGCAGCGCCAGAAATCCTGAGCTTTCAAAAGTGGCCAGAATGCCCGTCATCCAGCTCCTGAATCAGGGACTTTCAGCACTACCTCTGAGCAGAGGGGTTGGCTGCCCAGCCAGGCTTCCAAGCCCTGAGGACTCATGGTCAGGTTCAGCAGGCTCCTGGGAAAGCAGGGTGGGAAGGAGCTGCTTTTGGATCAGGGAGCCACGCAAGTTGAACTATCCTCTTCCAAGTGGCCAAGTGCAGGGGCCCTGCTCCGGGCGGTGGGGACCACCACTCAGGGTTCAGGGTGGGCAGGAGGGATGCTTCTCCAGCCTCCCCAGTCTGTTGGGCAGAGCGCGGTGGCATCTTTATGGGAAACTTCCAAGTCAGAGCACTGAATTTTCCTCTTGGTTATTGGGGGGGACAGGGTGGGGAAGTAAGTCTTCTACCAGGGTGCTTCTAAGTTCCTCTAAAAAGTCTACGTACAGACTTTCTTTCTTTGCTTGAGTTAACAACTGATGGTCCCAAGGCTACCTTCTTCTTCTTGAGCAGGTGTGTTCTCCCCTACTCTTCTGCTGGCCTGTCTGACTTCCATGGCCAGGCCCTGGGCCCAAGACCCCTTTCGTCATTGCCCCTCTTTCCAGACAAGGCCATGGTCAGGGTGTTTTTCTCTTGTAAACAAACACCAGCTGTCCAATAGGAATGCCAGCAAGTAACCTATTAGGAAAGATGGGGGGCCCCATTACCTTCAGGGTGTGTGGGTGTTTATCACCAGTGTCTGTCCTTTCTGGTACTGTAAGGATGACTCCAGCAGAGTGGGTCAGTCACAGCCACCCCGACCTCAGAGGGCAGGCCTGGACCACTGGTGTTCACAAGTGTTAGAGGGTTGAGGCCTAGCTTTGTATTTCTTAGGTAGGAGGGTATCTTTAGACTTTAGGGCACTGCTGAACCTCAGTCCTGGACAAGGCAGTCATCACATCACATCTACCTTCTCCACCAGGTGGCACAGGAGGGTAAAGAGGGCAGTGTGGGTTCATCTGGCCTTCCTTCACTCAAGGTGAGCCAGGTTTGGTTTTGCTCTCCCACTTTCCCTACCTGGATGAAAAGGGCAGATTCCAAATCCCTTTTGCTGGAGAATCAGCCAGTCTGAAGGGAAGTGGGAGGCCAGAGGTGAGAATCCTCTGAGAAGATTGTGAAATACTTTCATTCTTTCAAGCTTATTTGTAAATACCTATTTGAATGCTGTGTATTTGTACAGGAATTTGAGCAAAAAATGTATAGAGTGTGATGTCCAGTTGGTGTTCAGCCCTATAAATGTGTTTTTAACCTCTGGCTTTCTGTGCTTATTTAAAATACGAACACTTCTAACCATTTTTTTGTGTATTTATGTTAAATAAAAGGGGGGGGGGATTTTAAAATGATCTTACCTGTACCAGAAAGCAAAGTTAAAAGAAAAAAATTTGTACTAGTGTCCCGAGAGGTATTTTACTGTACATATTGTGGTAGCATGTTCTAAATCTAACAAGTAATGTGAATTTTAGATGTAAATATCTGCCACTTGATTTCCCCCTCCCCCCACTCCCTTGATTGCTGTGATGTGAATTAAAGATGAATACCTGATACTGACCCACTGAATTCACTGAACGGGAGCAGCACGAGTGCCCCTCTCCAACCTTTGCCGCTGGGCTCCAAGCCCTTTAGCCCCTTAGAAATCTTTCTGCAGTGAGCCCATCTTCCCACGCCTTGCTTCAAGGACAGCCAGCCAAGCCTTGCACTCGGAAGGGGGCAGCCAAAGAGGAAACCGCAGACGCTTCTGAGGACCCCCGCGCCCCTACTGAGGAGGTGCCCGGGCAGCCGGGGCCTGAGCGCTCAGCTGGACGCAGATAGCGGGCCAGGCTTCCGGAGCCTGGGAGGACTCGCGGAACCGCCGCGAGTGAAACAAGCCTCCTAAGCCTCCCCCCGCGAGGCGGCTGGCCCCGGGTCCCCGAGCCGGACACCCTGCCTTCCAGGGGAGGGCCTGCGGCCCGCAGTGTCAGCCCGCGCCCGGCGGGCTCGGGGCGCCCGGCTGCTGGCGACATTCGGACTCGGCCAGCAGGCCTCGGAGACGCCGGACCCTCCGCAGACGCTGCGCAAAGGCCGGTTCCCCGCCCGAGAGGGCGTTTAGGAAAAGGGAGACAAACACGTAACAGCCTTGCGGGCCGCGGCCGCCCTCCCCGCCTCGTTGGGTCGCGGCTGACCCCGGAGTCCCTGACCTGCGCCACTAGTCGAGACCCCGGGTAGGGAGATGCGCGGCGTTTTCGGGGAGGCGTGGGGCCCAGAACTGGGGTAAGCGAGACAGTCCCGCAGGCGCCAGCGACCCCTCCCCACTAGAGCCTGCGGCGCCCGGCCTCCGCCACAGCCGTTGCCCCTACCTAAAATGGCTGCCGTGCCACTTCCGCCGTCGCCCCCGCTTCCGGCAGCCGGCCCTGCTTCAATCAGCGGCCGACAACTGTCTAGGGCCGAGGGCGGGGCCTCCAACAGCCAATGGGGAAGGGTAGCGTGGAGCCGCCCGTCTGGGCTCCGGCAGGCGTGGACCAATGGGGACGCGGCGTGTGGGAGGGCAC